GTAAAATGGGTAGTACATCAGTTAGTGATGATGGCTGGTGTGGTGGTGCACAGCTGTAATCCCAGCACTCAGGAGGCTGAGGCAGAAGATTGCCACCAGTTGTAGACCAGCCTGGGCTACAAAGTGAGATTCTGTTGCCAAAAATCAAAACCAAAACAACAACAAGAAAACCCAATTAGTGATGATGAAGGCTATGGAAAAAAATGGAGAAGGAACTGGAGATGAGTAAGGCTGGAACTTGGAAAAGTAGATTGTGATTTATAAGAATATGAATGGGAAGGCCTCACCAAGGGGACAGTTAAACAGAGACCTGAAGGACACAGTGGGGAAGCTGTAGGGTCCCTGGGGGAAGAATATTTCAGGCAGAGCAAAACTCCTGAGGGAGGAACACATCTGAGTGTCAGGAAAGGGTATACTCAGAGAGCACAGTCCACACGCAGCGATGGTCTAGTTTGGGGTGCTTTTTGGCTGTACCACTAAACCACCAATAATGCGAGCAAGCATGGAGGCCACAGATGACAGTGGGGTTAACCACAGCCTGCTCCTGGCTTAACTCCTTTGGAGACAGGACTGCCTCAGGGACTGCAGTAACCCAGGTTCTCCTTTACTGACAGGCTACAGAGATGCTGGTTCACAATGCCCAGAACCTCATGCAGTCTGTGAAGGAAACGGTGCGAGAGGCAGAAGCTGCTTCAATCAAAATTCGAACAGATGCTGGATTCACCCTGCGCTGGGTCAGAAAGACACCCTGGTACCAGTAGGCACCGTGTACGTCCTGCTGGTACAGAAACCCCTACCGAAGAGAACAATGAGTTCCAGGAGTGACCCAGAAATGTTGGGGTTTAAAAGCTACACCTGGCCTCACGCATCAGGAAGGAATGGGGGCCTCTTCGAAGCATTATATTCCTTTGTCATGGACACTTTGAAATGTATCTCCATATAAACCCTTTATTCTCGAACACAGATATACTCATGCACACTCTGTCCCAATAGGAGGACTGGGTCTCTAGCCATGGACTTCACATAAGCTCAGAACCTACGCGTGAACACTAGCCAGACACCCCACTCTGCCCGTTCCCTTGGGGACACTGCCCCCTCTACCTCCCTTTTACCAGCCCCCACGCTCCTCTTCAGGCTCCCAAGACCCAGGGCCCAAGCACGTCAGTTAAGAAAATCACTGTGCCTCTACAAATTGTTTTGGGCTTTCCTTGTTGCTGCTGACCCTGCCCGACTCCCCTGGGCTGTTGTGCTACCTGGGCCCTTTTCAGAAGTAAGCTTTGATGCTGCGGAGAAAGGTGGCTTTTGGGGAACCCCAGCCTGTTTCTTGCCCTTCCCAATTTAATCTTTCTGGTTTTCAACAGTATGAAACCAAATTTCACTGTCAGGAGGAAACCACAGAATCACAGGATTCTGTCCTTATGATGACCCCGAGCAATGTCTGTGCTAGGGAAGCCTCCTGTCCCGAGTTCTGCCTCAGCCTGCCAAGGTAACACCCCACAAACACACTGTGTGTCCTGGTGCTCTCTGCCGCTGGAGGGGCAAAGTGGCCCGGGTGTGGCCCTGCTTTGTCACTGCCTGCAGAGATCTGTGTGGAGGCCTTATCGTTCATTCTTAGCTCTTACTTGTTCTTTCTGAGCTGAAATGCTGCATTTAATTTTTAACCAAATCATGTCTTCTGGCTTTTGTAGTCTTCTCCTATACCTTTCCTAAACCAAGTAAGATGTGTAGGTGTGTGTTCATCTGTAATTTTTTGTTTGAGAGGGGGGTCTCTTCTGTTGCCCAGACTCATTGTGAATTCCTAGCTCAAGTGATCATCATACCTCAGCTTCGCAGGAGCTGGGACTATCGGTGTGTCCCACTGTGCCTGGCTTCATCTATAATTTTAGAAGATCCTTTTTCATCTTATCTTTTTGAAGTTGAGTCCTAAGAATCAGTGCTTTCCACCTAAGAGTATTTAATGGAAAGGTCATACTGTCTGAAGGATACTTAAGGGACAGGGGTATTTGCAGACTAAATTAGGGTGCTGCTGGGGATAAATTGATGGGAAGTACTCCTCCTAAGTCCTACCTTCTTTCAATCATATATAATCAGGCCCATGTCCTTTCCTAAGTATAGCTACGACAGTAATAAGCATAAAATTTAACCACCAACACAGAAAGTTTCCTATTCAGCAAAGTGAGAGAGAAGGCAGCTTTTTCTATTTTTGCAGTTGTCACCACTGTTCAAGCATTTGCTAGCATATAAAACTTTCTGCACCAACCCAGAAGCAGATGAGGAAAGGAGACCCCTTGTCTGAATGTGCGTCCTTCTCACCCCTAATGTGTGTTAGAGTCCAACATCAAGTGTGTAAAACTTGTCTTAAGTTGGCCCTGTACACTCAGGCTTCCTGTATTTCCCTTTAACTGAAGAAAGATTATTTTCAAGGCCCTCACCTTAGCATATTTGTATAGTTGCTTACCTGATATAAATGCAATATTAATGCCTTTAAAGTATGAATCTATGCCAAAGATCAACTTTTGTTTTACTGAAGATTACTTAGACGAAATAAGGAAAGTCATGTCTGTTTTCCAAGTTCTTCCAGTGTTCTAAGACACTGGTTCACATTTTCTGTCAGATGTACTTTTCTCTATAGCAATGAAAGACACAGTGAAGTAAAAAATAAAGTAAAAATTACAAAAAAATCCCTGAATGATTTGAGATTTTACTACTAAAAACAAACATTTATAAGCTAGGATTTGTTATATGCAAATATTTTCTGCCTCTTTTGTTCTGTTGAAAACAATAAAATGCATTTGTATAAATAATGCTCCAAATGATCGGTATTATTATTTTAGAAAAAAAAAAAAAAAAAAAAAACAAAAAAAAAACAAAAACTTTTACAAGAGGGTTTTGGCAGTAGAAATCAACAGTATGTAAAGTATGTTTACTTAACAAGGATCTGTGTGATAAGGGTAACTTTGGGGATGATACACTAGGAGGAGTAGAAGTGGCAAGGGTAATGGGCAGAAAGCAGCCAGATGATGCAGCCCACCCCTGGATGAAAGTCTTTTGTCTCAGAAGATTCTAGCTATTAGTGGTGACCATTACTGTCCCCTAAAGAGTTGAACTTGTTAAATACACAGGAGTAGCACAGGTCCACTTCTTTATATTACAAAACCTAGTAGAGAATAGTAGTAAGGCTCTCTGGGACCCACCAAGGCTTTGAGGCAGGCAACTAATTTTGGGGGATGTATTCTTCCTTGAGGAAGCCCTAAAACAGAGGCACAAGATAGATTTGGATGGAGTAGTCTTGGGTACAGCTAGGACTTCAGCCATCTTTGCCTGGTCTTCTAGATCTGAAAGAATTAAGTATCATTATCTAGGAAGTTTCCAACCACAGAGGCAGATTCCAGCCTTCTTGGATTCAAGGGAAATGTCCAAAGCTGCTGAATTAGTTGAGCCTCAGTTTTGTTACTCACTGGATGTTTACTGATGCTGCCTTCCTGCTGCATTGTAGTTAGTTATTATGACAAATCAGATACCTTTACGGACAGTAAGACCAGCACATTCCAAGCATTCTTCTGTAGCACCATTTAAGGAATGAACCTATCACATGAAAGCTTTTTGAATAAAACGATGGGGATTTCTTCATAGGGAAAATTTATTTTATTTGTTGCTAGAATATATTCCCTTAAGAATTTAGAAAAAACTATTCTTGAATTAGATGGAACTCAGTGCTTGAAACATCTTCTAATACTACTGAGTATTCACATAGGTACACTGGTAGTGGTTAAGGAAGGTAGCTTTCACCGCTTAGCTCTTAGTCTGTGGCCAGGAGGGTATGAATGCAGGTGAACACGCGACATTTAGGAGAGGAGCATGCTGCAGTGCTTTGCAACGTCGTCCACACCTTGTGTGAAGACACAGAAGAACATCTGATCATACTCGGCTTTCTCTCACACTAAGCCTTGCCCACCTGAGAATGTTCCCAGTCAACAGCTTAAAAAAGAAAAGCCACTTGTTGCTTGCATCTTTTTATTGACAATATAGCCAGAGCCAGAGAGCGGGTTTGTTAGAGTCTATCAAATTAATAAATATAATAATTTAGCTGTAAAAGGAAACAGCCTACTTGGATGTCTTAGCAGAAGTTGCGAGGGGCAAAGGGCTCTTGGCAGACATTCTATATGGATGTAAGAAAAGGCAGCATGGGGAGAAGATTAGACAGCGGGTACAGATGGTCAAGAGTAGAGATTTTTACAGAAAGAAAAGCATTTTTGTTTTTTTTTTTTTGGAGACAGGGTCTCACGATGTAATTTAGGCTGGCCTTGAACTCACTATGTAGCACAGGTTGGCCTTAACTTGTGGTGTGATCCTTCTGCCTCAGCCTCCCCAGTGCTGGGATTACAGGCATGGGCAACCATGCCCAGCTGAAAAGCAATTTTTGATTGCTGTTTTGAGGGAAGAACTCTAACGAGTAAGATATTAAAAATAGAAATGTGATTGAACTGGACAATCGGGTCTTCTGTACAGGGAATAAATACTTGGCAACATCTGAACTTTTATCTACCAATCAGAGATTACTGTAGAAATCAGTAAATTGCAAAAGTGGCCTTATGTTTTTGTTTGTTTTTATGAAGGCCTGCTATGTAGCCCAGGATAGTCTCAAACTTACAATCCTCCTGACTTAGCCTCCCAAGTGTTGGGATTGTACCCATATGCCACCCAGCCAGGCAAAGTAGCTGTTCTTACCGGATGAAAGGCAGATTGAATACCCAAGGCAAGCAAAGGTAAGAACGCTACCCAAAAAGGGATTTACGCACCACAAGTAACTGGGAGGAGTGTAAGAGGTAAGGGGAAAAAGTGTAAGCTGAGAAGAATGAATGGAACAATGAAAAAAAAAATGAATAGCTTAAGAACAAGAAGAAATAGGAACCATAAGCACCTAGATTATAACCCTCAGCCTTCCTCTACTTCCTTATGCCTAATGAAGCAAAGTATCTGGGTAAGGAACACCAAGCCAATGAACTGAGTGAAATGATTTTACTATACAGGCTGACTTTCCAAACATAATGGTCAATATGATATAAATGTTGCTATGAATTCTGTTCCTGCCTTAACCTAATGTTTTGCCATGTACTTGTCAGGATGGAGACATTTAAGTACTGCAGTTAGAGTTTTGACAACAGTTTCAGAAAGAAATCTATTACTACGGTTTTGATATGCACACACAATATGAAACAGAGTTCCCCCTAAAAAAAAAGGGATGCAGGCAAATTTCGTCCTTTAAGAATAACAACAAAAAAGAGAAAGAGTTTTAAAAAAAAACTCATGACAGTGGGGCAGATACAGTTTCCTCCTCTTGTGGAACAAGGGCATGAGGCAGTTAGGCTGACTGGTGATGCTGGATAAAGCATTACAAAACATGAAGATGGCTAACGTTTCTCTTTTACTACTTTAATTTGCTTAAAAGCACACCACTTGTGCTTGCAATAACTTCCTAAAGGCAGAAGTAGTGTTCCCTTTTATCACCTTTACAAAGCATTTGCCCTTTTGATACAAATGATTTTTACTGTGCTATCTAACAGCTAAACTGGTGACACAAACTTGAGATGGTATTTACTGCAGCAAGTTCCTTGTAAATCAAAATCTGAGCTTTTACATAAAAATCTGATTTATAAAAAATATAATACTAAGTACAGTGAGGATGGAGCATGGAGCAGCAGTGCCCCCTGCCAGGGCCATATGGAGGTGGCTCTTGCTACAGTGCTTGCTTAATGGCACAAGTGAAAAGCTGAATAAGGCAAACACTTGAAGAGGCAGTTTCTGTAAACTTCTTGGGGTGGGGAATTTCCTGTCAGGACAGATACTGTTTGGGATGGCTAAGGGCAGAAGGTATGACATTTGGCTGCACCTGACACACTGCAGATTAAGACTGTTCCTGCTGGATGAGCCCAGTTCACTTGCTTTAGGAGAAAGGTTACCACTGTAGCCTTCTGCCTTTACTTCACAGCATCCAGCATCCAGCGGGTACCCCTTTGGAGGAAATCACCTCCAAAATCTTCCTAAGTGAAAAGATATAAGCTAAGTCATCAGAAAAGTTTCCTTAGCTTAAAGTTCTTTAAGAACCCTACATAGATTACTAAGCAACCTCCGTTAGTGGTGTGTAGCTAGACATAAAAGCTTTAAGGAGAGTATGTATTCCCACCCACTTGGTACCTAATAGTAACAAACTGTAATGACACTTGGAAAACAAACTGATCTTGAGGAATTTTGGCCTCTTCTCATGTCCTCACTTGGAACTTTCCAGCTTTTGTGACATATTTGACTCCTTTAAATGGCTTATATTTCTCCCCATACATGTCCAAACGGTTTACTTTCAAGCCTGTGTCAAGAAAGAATGAAACAAATTATTATCCCAATGTGAATATAGTATCTGGTGTAAATCTGACGCTAACCAGTGTCCCTTCTACCATTCATGAATTGTTACACTTTGGGGTACCCTTTCAGTTAAGATGTGCACGTGGGCAGAGCATGTTTGTTAAGGCAAATTCCACTTTCTGTGAATAGGAAGGACTCCTTTTTGCATTTAAATGACGGTGGGGAGTAAGGGATGCTGTGTGAAATAAGGCGCTCCTAAAGTCCTCTGACGCAATGGCATTGTGTAAAAGGCAAACGACCTGCTGCTCTTTCTAGAGCAGAAATGGCTGTTACTCCTCTAATAATACAGCCTAGCACAACTCAATTACCCTCAGACCCAGGCCAAACTTATCCTCACCTGAAATAGCAAGCTGCTGGATCTTGAACTGTATGTTGAGGCTTGGATTCTCTTCTGGTTTGGGTGCTCCGGACTGCAAATTTACCAGTCCTTTAAGACTGGGGAGCTTTTGTGGAGTAATTTTCCCCACATCCCATGTTAGTACCTTAAAGACATAAAATCAAAACCAATCTGAATCATTTGTTAAAGACAAATGCTCAAAAACAACATAAACTTCCACACAAAATAAGCGGCGTCTTGCAAACGAGAGACTTGGTATCCATAAGGATCTAACTATTAAGTAGCTCTGTGACTCAGTGGGGAGAACCGATGGAGAATGAGCATTTACTTTTGAATACAGCACTAAGCTTAGCCAGTTCATGTTATCTCATAGAAGCCTGTGAAGTAGATTTTATCTTCTGTTTACACATAAGGAAATTAAGGCTCAGAGCGATCACGTGACTTGCTCAAGGTCACAAAGGTAGTTATAGGAAAGGCGAGGATTTGAACCTAAGGCTAGGCTGTATGACTGCAAACTGAAAATATTCTTCCTATTGTCTTACCTTTATGACTTCTTTCTACTCCTGTCTTCTGCAAAATGGCAATATGACTCCACATCCCACATACTGAGCCCTCTATTTTTTGAGATAAGGGCTCGCTAAATTGACCAGGCTGGGCTAGATTTTGCAATCCTCCTG